TGCGTCATTTCTTAATTTTTAAATGTATAGGGTTTAATCGAGACAATGGCTTGCGCTAGGTATAGATTCTTAAAACAATGCTTTAAGATATATTAATAAATAAAAAATCTAAATGTTAAAAATTAAAAAAATAATAATAAAAAAAAACAAAATAGTAACATTCCGTAATTGTAGTTTAAGTACACCAAAAAATTAGTCGTGATGTAGAAAGAAGTTAGTTGTGTTCTCCATTTTAATAGAAGGAGAAGGATTCCCTCTTCTCTTTTTTTTTTCTTCCCCTTCCCTCGTATTTGAACAATCACGGTTAAGTCACGTCAATATCTTATATTAATTTTTTATAAAAAGAGAAAGACAAAATAAAAAGTGTAAGAGGAGGGTAGAAAATCCTAATCCCTAATAGAAATAGGACATCTCCAAGTTGACGGTATGCTTAGAGACACGTGCCTATGTAGGTGTGCTCTTCGTCTTCTCCGTGCTCGAGCTTATGTCCTGGTCTGGCATGATAACATGGCTTGCGGCATATGGCAAGTCACAAAACTTCATACAAGCCTAAAAAACGTGCCTACCATACGTGTGCTCTTCTTAGTACTTAGGCAAGTGTCCATCCATGCATACTTACCCTATTCAGTCACGAGTTATATACAATTATGTGATTTATCTGTTATTATATGATTAGTAATCATGTAATTAAAAAGATAAACACAATTATGTATATACAAAACTCGTATATGCATTATTCATCGAACAATTGCCAAGATGGGGTTGACATTCTACGCCCAACGCCCAACTATTTGGTGTTCAATGTGGTGCTTATGTGTGGTCGAGATACAAGTTAAATGCAACTCACCCTCGATATATATCATGCATCACGACATGTCTTAGTCGTCAGTTTTTCTCCTCACTAACAATCTAACAACAAATATAGTATAATATATTCGTAGGCTATCATATTCTAGAGCCACATTTTTTCAGAAGGTAAAGACATTTGTAATGTGGTTCATTTAGTACTACGGTTTTAGTGGTATTCATCTTCACTTATATGTGAGAGGTTTTAGGTTTGATTCTCACCAAATGCGAATTTGACTCACATTATGAGACTTAGCTCATTTATCTACCCTCTTTAGTGTAAATAATATCGTTTAGTTAACAAAAATAATTAAGGATTGCTGGTAGTAAAAAAATTAATACCCTTAAAAATTTAATGTAAATAACATCGTTTAATCGACAAAAATAATTAGGGATTGCTGGGAGTAACAAACTTAATACCGTTGAGGATTTGTGCTCGGATGAGAAGCTTCTAATTTGCTTGGGATCTTGCACCAGCTTGGATATATAGGGATCTACGCAAATGCCCATGGATTGATCCTAAAGCCAAATAGGCTTAATTGCACCCTTTGGTGGGGGCATAATTGACCCCACCAGTTGTTAGTTGAACCCTTGGAAAATGGAAAAGCTTCATCGTGGATTTTAGAGATCTTGTAACCGTGACTGTTCATCGTATATCGTGCATCATATAGTTAAAAATTATTTCAAAATTTAAAATTTAAAATTAAATATAAATAGTACAAAATGAAAACTGACTGCACAATGTACGATGAACGATCACGATCGTGAGGTCCCTTGAAAAATTGATCCAATTTAACAAAAATATAAGATAGTGTGCTTTGGTACTCACCAAATAATAGAGTTACTTAACTTATTTTAATGATGTTACGAGGATTGTTTTAAAAAAATTGACTAGTTCTGCTTAAGCGTTTGTCTACGTTGTGACTCTCATTTAAACAGAAAATAAATAACTTTCATTTTGCATTTGTTTAATAAATTGTAAGAGACTTGTCATGAATACTCGGATGAATACTTATTATATGTTTTTCTCATGTTTTCAAGTCATACTATTTTGCAACTATTTTGCAATTTATGTAGACTAATACAGTTATGTATTTTTTTAAGTATAAGTTGACATTTATTTATATGTTGTATAATAAATCTATTTAAAATTTAGAAACTGCCTAGACTCCTCCTAGAAGCCTTGGTGCTAGGCTCTACTCGCTGCCCGACTAGCGTTTAGCGCTTTTTAGAACCTTGATTACTAAAACTACGATTTAGTTGTATTTTGCTTTTTATGTAAGTGGATTATCTTACGTTCGAATCACATGAATGAAGAATTTGATACATTTTATAATTTAATTCATTGTGTGGCTTAACTAATATATTTTCTCTATAGATCAACTCCAACCCATGGCCTAAAACCTATAATTTCCCTTTTATTCCCCCCATCCATTCAAACCCTAGTTCTAATTTGGAGTTAGAACCTAAAACCTGAAGAAGAAAAAAAAGCCAGAAATTGGCCAGGATTTAGCCTAAAAAATGGTGTGGGCCCCACCAGCGAGAGTGAAGCTGGGTGGTTGAAGGCCAGACACCCGCTTGTGACGTGCGCACATGACCAATGCGCCAAGGTAAAGACCGGCATGTCGGCCATTTCGTCAGAGAGCTAACAATTACATTGTCGACCAACGACTGAGATCAACTGGCCGTTGGTTGGTCCAACAGCCTACATTCAATTATTTTTTTTTTAGTTTTGTATTTATGTATTTATTGAATCCAACGGCTGAGATCGAATATAATCAAATCTAACGATAAAAAAAAAGATCTAACGGTCCAAATTTAATTCCAACGGCTACATCTTTATCATGTGTTTTGTATATGCTTCATATGTGTTATGTATGTCTTGTGTGTTTCATGTATTTTGTGTTTATAATCTCTATCATGATTTTCATATTCTTCGATAGTGTTTCATGTATCGATTTAGTGATTTTTCAATAATTATCGAATTTAAATATTTTTAGGTTTTAATGTTCACAAAATTAATTTAGGATAGTCAACATAATTTTTTTAAAGTTAATTAAAAAAATTAGCTTAAATTCATCCTTTAATATTCTCGGGCTAAAATTTAAGCCATAAAGATTGGAACAAAAAAACTGTTTATAGGTTAAAACCTAAATTTTATGGGCTAAAAATTTTAGATTTTAAGCCAGTGATTGGAGATGGTCTGAGGGTAAAATACTTTTGTAAAAAATAAAAAAATAATTATTCTTGAATTTATAGTTGACCTCGATGGAGGTGGGTGGGACGAAGGCCCCATTGTCTTAGGGTTTCCATATTCATTCCGTTGTTCACGCCTATGAATGTTATTGCATGTTACAAAAACCAAAGAAGGAAGGAACATCGATACAAGAGAAGCTTCTTGCTAATTGGTTGATTAATTATTAAGCTCACTCCTAATCAACCATGCACGCCACGTGGGGACATATGAATGGACAGAGGATCATAACTTAGATCGTGACCAACCCCGTTGACTCCGGCGTCACCACAACGGATCACTATAATTACAGAGCATATGAGGTTGTGATTATTTTAGTCATAATTAATCCATTTTCGTAATTAAAAACACCAAACAAAGAGAAAGCCGCTACGCCTTTAAACTTTCCCGGCAATCAAGAAACAAATGGAGTAGGAATATGCTTGAGTGGCGCCAAATATTGGATTGGACATTAGTAAGTGGCAACTTTTTGTTGACAAACCCTAGTTGTCTAAATCGTGCTCGAGTCTTCATTGGTATTTCTTTTTCCAAATTGAGAAACGAAAATAACGTTGTTGGAATGGTAATGTTGTTTGTACTACAAGTACAAATTGTATAGAAAATCGTATTGCTTGAAAGATAACTTTTTAGGTACGAGTGATCAGATCATGTGACTGTTCAAATTCCAACCTAAGATACAAAAACATCCCACCCAGTGAGATTTTCCTAAATATTGTCCGCACCTAACATTGAAAATGAAATACTTAAAAATTATAAATACCTATTTGATGTGTCTTCAGTCGAACGGTTAGATGATTCGGTCGTTCAAATCTAAGAATTTCTCTTCTCGATTTGAAACGGAAAATGAAAATGGTAAATTTGACCTTGAGATGAGAGGGTCACTAGATGTGAGCACTGTAAATATTCCTAGATATTGACGTAGGGGAATTATATAATTCAGTAAAACAACACTTTCCTAAGAAGAATTTGCAATTAGTTTAATGATAAGTCCATTAGAAAAAACTAAGCTTGGAACCATACCACTATTAGATCACAATAAAATAATAACTAGCATTGCTTCTAATCTTGAATGACAGCTAGCCTTTGTGAATTGAATTGAGATCTTCGTGACAGGGATAACAGATCTACTGGCTACTGAGTGTAGCTACGGGAGAACATCATACATTGCACGATGCATATTTACTGTCACATGTCGTCTTATGTAAATAAAACAAAGACATGAAAAATATATATTTTTATTTTATTAGTACATGATGCCAGTACAACTGGTTATTCGTATTATAGAGGTTCATTTCCCGTAATAGAGTGGAGAGGTTAAAAATTAGGCCGATTCGGAACAGAAAAGGTTTGGAGTCAATGTGAAGGAAGAAAAGTGACAAAAATATGACGGGTCACGGCTCACATTCACACGACCCAAAAGAACCAAAAAGGGTTTCCGGCTCACATGGAATTGCAAATGTGGGTCACAAGAGGAAAAAGAACAAAATGACGATATTACCCTTTGGTCCTAGTTACCTTGACAGGTTGGCATGGTAAAAGCCCACTATAAAAATGCCAGAAAAAAGAAAGAAAAAGAATCAAGATGGGTGATTTATTAAGTGTTAAAAAAAAACTCATGAAAATATTTTAGCTTTCCGTGATCACTGTCGTTTATTTGACATGTCATGCTTGTAGCCAACGGCCAGGCAGCGGCGAGCCTTGACACTTGTGATTTGTGAACTGTGATCGACCGCGACCTGTCCGTGTCCGTATATGTTACACTAGTAATAAATACACCAAACCAAACGCCTTAGAAAAAACATTTATGTATTTTCTCAGTATTTTCCTATTTGATTCCGCTACCATATTATATATGAATATATATATATTTATTTATTTATTTATACACGCACAGCACAAAGACAAATATATTATATAGCTCTGCTCAGAGTCTCAGACCTGTGAGTTGTGGGTGTGGACACCTTGCTGCTTCACCACACTCTCTGAGTTGCTGCTGCTCTTTCTCTCCTTCCACATTTCACAATTCCTTCTCTGCTTTGAGTTTTGTGTGCCATTAAAGTTTGGAGAGAGAGAGAGAGAGAGAGAGAAGGCAAAGCCATGGAAACCAACTCCAACTCAGTTTCCAAGCTGGGTTTTTTCATGGGGTTGTTTTTGTTGCTGGGTTTTCAGCTGGTTCACTGTACTGTCACATATGACAGGAAGGCCATTGTGATTAATGGGCAAAGAAGAATCCTAATTTCTGGTTCAATACATTACCCCAGAAGCACTCCTGAGGTAGCCCAAATCTTTTTTCCCATTTTCCCACTAGCCATTTCACAAATTTTTCATTTTTTTCAACAATTCTTTCACTATTGCCCTCTTAAATTTTCTGGGTTTTTTTTATATTTGATTTGAGAAATGTAATTTTGGTTTAGATGTGGGAGGATCTGATTCAGAAGGCAAAAGAAGGAGGGCTTGATGTGGTTGAAACCTATGTGTTCTGGAACGTGCATGAGCCTACTCCTGGCAATGTATCTGCTCTCTCACTTTTAACTCTTCATTTTTACATTTTACTGTCAAAGTTTACTGCTTTGTTCTGCCATTTTTGCTGTTTATTTTTCCTTCTAATTATGACTGCTGCTGGGTTTGTGCTGGGTTTCAGTACAATTTTGAAGGGAGGTATGATCTGGTGAGGTTCCTCAAGACCATACAGAATGCAGGGCTCTATGCTCACCTTCGCATTGGCCCTTATGTTTGTGCAGAGTGGAACTTTGGGTACTCTTTTTTCTCTAGATCTATAATTTAGGCCTTTTATTTTTCTAATTTTTTAGGATATTCTTTTTTACTCTCCTAATTCTAGAAAAAAATGAATATATAATTTTTCTGATTGTGTGGTTTGTAGGGGTTTTCCTGTGTGGCTGAAGTATGTTCCAGGCATCAGCTTCAGAACAGACAATGAGCCTTTCAAGGTTAATTTTCTTTACTTTTTACCTAATACTGTTGCATAATTTGTCTTAAGGAGAATTTATGGAGCTTTTGGGGGTATTTACTATTTACTATTTACTGTTCAGTAAAATTTGATAGTGTAACTTCTGGAAATGCAGAGGGCAATGCAAGGGTTCACAGAAAAGATTGTGGGACTGATGAAGAGTGAAAATTTGTTTGAGTCCCAGGGTGGTCCCATCATTCTCTCTCAGGTATATGAGCCTTTTCGATTTTCCGTTTTTGCTCTATGATTTTCTTCTTAGGGGTAAATTATGTTATTTCGAGTTGAGTTATAGTAATATGTGTTAAATTTGTTAATTTGGTTCAGATTGAGAACGAGTATGGAGCACAAAGCAAGTTACTTGGAGCTGCTGGCCATAATTACATAACTTGGGCGGCAGAAATGGCGGTTGGGTTGGACACCGGAGTGCCATGGGTGATGTGCAAGGAGGAAGATGCTCCAGATCCAGTGGTGAGTAATTAACACTCTTTGTGCTGCACATCTTAGCTTGTATTGTTATACATTTTCCTTTTATTTCGCATTCCTGCAATGGAGTAGCAATTCTCGAGAGAAGAGTTGTATGACTTGCGTATGTATTAAGGAAGTCACTCAAATGTTTTGTGGATGGTGGCGTGACAGATAAACACATGTAACGGTTTCTACTGTGATTCTTTCTCTCCCAACAAGCCCTATAAACCTACAATTTGGACGGAGACATGGAGTGGATGGTAAGTTTATTATGCTTGTTTGCTTAGGAATCCCAAGTTTGTTAATTTGCTACAAATGAAAATATATCCATTTGACTCTTTCTTTCAATAAAATTGTGAAGGTTTACGGAGTTTGGAGGTCCAATTCACCAACGACCAGTTCAGGATTTAGCATATGCAGTTGCGAGATTCATACAGAAAGGAGGATCATTTGTTAACTATTACATGGTCAGTTTCCTTACACTGCTTTGTTTTTGAGGTTATGAAAGATGTACAGTATTAAAACCTATCACAGAAAACTGAATTCTTGTGTTTTCTTGTGAAAAAGTACCACGGGGGTACTAATTTTGGACGCACAGCCGGGGGCCCTTTCATCACTACCAGCTACGACTATGATGCTCCATTAGATGAATATGGTGAGAATTAAAATACGCTTAAGCAAACTGATCTGGTGTCAGTGCGTGTTGTGATATACCAGTTTACTGCACGAATGTTTGGAACTTTTGAGAATATAGCTAACTCCTTTACCGTAAAACTTGATAGGTTTAATCAGGCAGCCAAAGTATGGCCATCTAAAGGAGCTTCACAAGGCTATTAAGATGTGTGAACGGGCTTTAGTATCAGCGGATCCAATCATCACTTCACTGGGGAGTCTTCAACAGGTTTTCACTTTTATTCTCAAACTAGCGTTTGGTGTTTGCATAAGTTATTCTTGTTTACTAAACTCTAGGCATCTTTTGGCATTCCAGGCTCATGTGTACACTTCCGAATCAGGAGATTGCTCGGCATTTCTTTCAAACCATGATTCCAATTCAGCTGCGAGAGTGATGTTTAATAACATGCACTACAACCTACCTCCTTGGTCCATCAGTATCCTTCCTGATTGCAGAAATGTAGTCTTTAACACTGCAAAGGTATTGATTCTGAACATGTACTTGGATTGATGTCTATTCTGACAGAATCCGAGACCACAATTTCGGTAACACAAGTCTTTATTTCCTTTGAACATTGAAATATTTTTTAGTTTTTGACATGAAACTGTTTGTCATTCCTTCTCCTTAGGTTGGAGTTCAAACGTCACAAATGCAAATGTTGCCAACAAATATTCCAATGCTATCATGGGAGAGTTATGATGAAGATCTTACTTCTCTGGATGACAGCTCAACATTGACCGTTCCTGGTCTACTGGAACAGATAAATGTCACGAGGGATAGTACTGATTACCTCTGGTACATAACTAGGTGAGAATTTCCTGAGGCTAACTCTTTGTCTCATGATTTCCCCAGTTGGTCTGCGTTCCATTGTCATTGAAGTATTTTCACCTATGAGTATTCTTACACAGCCTTTCAAAAGAATGTTCCGATTTGACTAGCTTGGTCTGTGGAAGTACCCACCCGGACAGTGTTACGTATGCCTTCTGTGACATCCTTTCTGACCTATTGATAAATATTAAACTATCATCTTCCTTTCAATGTGTCTGCAGCGTCGATATTGGTTCATCTGAGTCCTTCCTGCGTGGAGGGGAACTCCCAAGTCTTATTGTTCAATCAACAGGCCATGCTGTGCACATCTTCATTAATGGGCAGCTTACAGGTACAATTTTGATTTGCTTATTGCATGGATATTATCTTGTTGAACAATGAAAAAAACTTAACAAATACATAACAGGTTCTGCCTTCGGAACAAGGCAGAGTAGGAGATTCACATATACTGGCAAGGTCAATCTACGTGCCGGAACAAACAGAATTGCACTACTGAGTATTGCCGTTGGATTACCTGTTAGTATTATTTCCCACAATTTTTTTCTTCTTATTCTACTTGTTCTTCTTCTGTAATGCTGACAAGTTATTGTTGCTTGTTGAAGAATGTGGGCGGACACTTTGAGGCTTGGAATACTGGCATCCTCGGCCCTGTTGCACTTCATGGACTTGACCAGGGAAAATGGGACTTATCTTGGCAGAAGTGGACCTACCAGGTAGTCGATCTTACTTTGGAAATCAAATCTTTTTATTTATTATGAACAAGACATTTTCCCTTACCCCTGCTATTCTATCAGGTCGGATTGAAAGGAGAAGCCATGAATCTTGCATCTCCAAATGATTTTTCCTCCGTCGAATGGATGAGCGGATCATTAATTGCACAGAAACAGCAGCCATTGACTTGGCACAAGGTATGCAATGAAGGAAAGTGGAACTCAATTATGTAATGTAAACACAGGAGAACAAAATTATTAATACTCTCACTCAACTTTGCAGACTATTTTCAATGAACCAGAAGGAAACGAGCCATTGGCTTTGGATTTGGAGGGAATGGGAAAAGGCCAAATATGGATTAATGGACAGAGTATTGGGAGATACTGGACTGCATTTGCTAGTGGTAATTGCAATGGGTGCGGTTATGCTGGAGGGTTTAGGCCTACAAAGTGTCAATCGGGTTGCGGCCAACCCACACAACGATAGTAAGCAACTCTACGATGAAAACTTTGTATTTTTATAACAAAACAATTGTACCATGAAAGTATGACATAAACAATTAGTGGCTTACTCAGCAAACAAATTCTCCTCCTAAATTCCATTTGAATTTCATTTTTTTCAGTTATCATGTGCCTCGATCTTGGTTAAAGCCAACGCAAAATCTGTTGGTTCTTTTTGAGGAACTTGGAGGGGATCCCTCCAGAATTTCTCTAGTAAAGAGAGCTGTGAGCAGTGTTTGCTCTGAGGTTGCTGAATACCACCCAACAATCAAGAATTGGCACATCGAAAGCTATGGAAAAGCAGAAGACTTCCACAGCCCCAAGGTTCACTTGCGGTGTAACCCAGGCCAGGCTATCTCTTCCATCAAATTTGCTAGCTTCGGAACACCCTTGGGAACCTGTGGGAGCTACCAACAAGGAACTTGCCATGCGACCACATCATATTCTGTATTGCAGAAGGTACTAAACAATGCTATCTGGTTTTCTAAGATCTACTTATATTCATAACCCTCTTACTGAACCGTGTTCTATCTTTTTTTTATCTCCAATTATCACAGAAGTGCATAGGGCAGCAGAGTTGTGCAGTCACCATATCCAACAGCAACTTTGGAGATCCATGTCCGAATGTGTTGAAGCGGCTGTCAGTAGAAGCTGTTTGTGCTCCCACAACTTCAACGAACATGGAACCCAATTTGCGGGGTTAGTGAAAGAGTGAGATAACGTATCATAATTGTTGCACCCTAATTCCTTAATTATACACCACAGCAAGAGAAGAAGCGAGCAAACAAGAATAAGATATCGAGTACAGCGAGATGGTAGATGTAGTTAGGAGGAGTGCCATAGTTTTTTCTTCTGATGAAGAGGAGTCGTAGTAGCAGCGCTTGGCGAAGGGTAATTCATATTCGGAGTTAAAGCGCAATTAGCTGTTAATTTAAGTAAGCTTAAAGGACTTGTGTTAGTAGTGATCTTGTTACTTAGGCGAGTTTGTAGATACCTCGGGGTTCAACAATTCGGACCCTAGGGGGAGTCAGGCTCCGGTCCCCGGCCTTTTAACGGGATATATGGGCACTGGGAAATGATGTGTTTTTCTGTTGAGTGTTTTTACTGTTCGTGTAGGTTTGGGGAAAAAAGGATACCCCAAATCCAATAAGGTAAATGTAGGTTCATGTTGGGAGAGGATCCTAGTGTGACACCATTTGTTTACTGTGCAGATTTCATGAATGAAAAGAATCAAAGTCTGTGTTGTCCATTTCGTGGTGTTACTTCCCCTTGTTTTTGGTTGTGACTGATAACTTGAGATTTCCGCACTCTCATTTTCTCCCCATGCAATTCTCTATTTTCTCTAGCTTTTGGATTGAATAAATCAAAAGACGGGAGAAAAAATGTAGTAAGAAAACGGAAGTGTGAATCACTTCCCTTCGAAAATGCGAAAGGGCACATGACATGATGGTAATTGCTAGCATGCTAGTACCTTCAACAATAAAAGTACAGACCTACTAAATTTCTGAATGCCCCCAATTCCATCCCTGGCTGCAGTTTGGCGAAAGACCAACATATCTGGCGTACTCTTTTGTATGTCTGTCTCTCTATTGCAATGATACCACGCGAGGAGAGAGATCAGTACAAATGATATATATAACCCTATTCCATGTAAATTTCAACTTGCAAGTCCGACCCACTCACAATGGAGTGAGAGCCACTCAAATACTAATCTTAACGGGTGAGTTGCATCGAGTTAACAGATTGGGTCTAAAATGCGAGGTCTAAGTGAGACCCTTATATTGAGGTTAATTTGTGCTTGCACAGGGCCAAGTGGTACCTAAATACAAATGAGCTCATTTCCTCGTGAGTAAATCCGGCAAGTCCACCTAGTCCAACGGTTGGGCGCAAGAGTCCTCATAGTTAGCCATTGTGCACCTACCTGCCGCAACTATATAGAATTTCCACATCAAGTAACAATTTCCAAACGATGTATGGGCTAAAGTAGAACTACATTTATGTAGCAACCTTATGAAAAGTACCACGCACAATACTTAAAACAAGGTCAAAAGGTTGAAATATAAGTCTGCATTGCTAGCAACTCGCACGGTCCGTGGCCTTGTGCTTTGCTATAGTCCAGATTTATCGGCATAATATGCAAATTTATCACATTCAGGCAGAAGCAGTGCCCACATGCTTCGAGATAGTCTGCTGCAGCTCGTCCTTCTTCGCTCCGACCACCTTGTCCACGATCTTCCCTTCCTTCAGGAACATGAACGTTGGCATTGCCTCTACCGCCCAGTCCTGCGCGACCGTCTGCAAAGAAATTAACTTGCGATTGAGTTTCTCTTACAGCGTGCAATGTTAACTGATTCCGAAACAAATTGCGTTTTGAAACAGATGACGGTATTACCTTCAGTTCATCGACGTCAACCTTCACGAAGATGACATTCGGCAGCTTCTTAGCCAACTCCGCCAAGAATGGTGCAATGAAGCGGCATGGTCCGCACCATGAAGCAGTGAAATCAACAACCATCTGCAATTTTTATTGAAGAGCTCCCGGAACATGAGAAGCGAAAAAAAAAAAAAAAACAAGATGTTCATGTAACCCTTCAAATGACTAGCATATGTGTAATCATAGGAACCAATATTGTTATTGTTTTAAATATGAAAGGAAACAATTGATAGTACGTAGGGTCGAAGCGAACAAAAGTTCTACTTTACTCCTGTGTATGACATGCATTGAAGCAATGAATGGTTACATATGCAATCAAGAATCCAACTGTCAAGGACATGTTGGAATTCCTCTGTCCCCACTTAGCCACCTGCTCAATCCGTCAGATGTGAGGGCCGATGTGGAGCCAAGCCATTATAGTGGGGTAATTCTATTTAAAAGGCTTGTTCTCAAGCTCTATGGCCAATGTGGGACAGAGGAATTCTAACACTCCCTCGCACTTGAGACCTTATGTTATGGGTCACACGTGGAGTTCTACACATCAACAACCACGTGGAGCCAAGCCGGGGCTCATCCGTTCCTGCTGGGCCAATGCATGTGGCATCTTTTGGCCTACGTGGAGCCATGTCAGGGCTCACCCCTTCGCGCAGGGCCAAGGCATGTGGAGCCAAGTCGGGGCTCACCCATTCCTGCTGGGCCAATGCATGTGGCATCTTTTGACCTACGTGGAGCCATGTCAGGGCTCACCCATTCGCGCGAGGCCAAGGGGGACCCACACGTTCACGTGGATGTAATGGCCGTCTTCTGGCTCTAATACCATCTTAAATTTCAGATAGACGGGCCATGGACCCACTCTAACAACACCAATACTGTCCCCACTTGGCCACCTACTCAATCCATCAGGTGTGGGGTTTTAATACAAAAGGCCTCGATGATAGTTAGAGCGAAGGAATTCTATTTAAAAGGTTTGTTCTCAAGCCTTTTGGCCAATGTGGGACAGAAAAATTCTAACACCGGTGCATAATAGAGAATATGTCAAACAAAAACAAACAAGAGGGTTTTGTAGGAACACTTGGCAAAGGGTAAACAACCGTAAGCATTTCCGTGTCGTTTGTAATAGTATAGGTCAAAAGATAAAACAAAGAATGATTCCGAGCTAATGGCAAATGATGTAGTTCCAATACTCTTTTAAATGCAGATGGCGCTTTACTACAATGAAGGAAAGCGATGCATCCTGGTGGAATTTAATTCTCACCGATTTTCTCTATTCTAACAACTAAAAATTTAACTCATTAAATTCTATTGTTTATAAAAAGAAACTCTTTTAATGGGGACAAATAAGTCCTTTTCAACCTAGAATTTAGATGCAAAATATAACAAATGAAATTAACGTGGTGGGTAGGAAAATATTGTTTTGTATTATGGCTAAATTGGATTAATGGTCCCTGTGGTGAGAGGGTAATCGGAAGATAGCCCCTGTGGTGAAAAAATTCGGATTTAAACTCTCGTGGTGAACTCCGTTAGGATTTAAGCCTAAAATGTACATTTATGTGAATTCTTTGTTAACCCAAAATTAAAATCACACCCTTCCCCCAAAGATTTCATTGGATTTTAAATTTTTGGTCCAAAGCAGTTTCACTTTTTGTGTTCTCTGGATTAATTCAATCCGAGCAAGTTTTTAAATTTCAGCTATTTCTGAGAGTAGAATACCTAGAAGAAAAAAAGGAGCTTTCTTTACGGTAAAACCAGAAAAAGGAGATTGCTTTCACGCTCAGGTGGCATCTGCGGCTAAGATTTGATCTGGGTTGTGAAGTTTCAAGCTTGTGGCTCCAATCCCTTGTAATTTATTAACCTTTAGATTTTGTAAAGTTAGAGTAAGTTTATATTTACCACCCAAATTGCCGTTCTTTCTTATTTTTACAAATCCTGAAGCTTCTTTTACTGCAGAGAGGCTCCAACCACACCATCCTCAATCTGTAAGTCAGTTTTCACAACCCAATATTTCGTTTTTTAGTATTTGAATGGAATCGAAGTATGGATCAACGAATTCATAACCTTGGATGAATGTGTTTTTTTTCTCTTTTGGTTATGAAGGTTGAATGAGTTAACAGACAGATGAGGAATATATTAATTTTGGGCTTAAATCCTAACGGAGTTCATCACGAGGGTTTAAATCCAAATTTTTTCACCACGGAAGCTATCTTCCGATTACCCTCTCATCACGAGGATCATTAATCCAATTTAGCCTTGTATTATTTATGTGGAATGTTATTTTAATATGCAAGAATGAACGTATTATGCCCCAACATGATAAAAAGCAAACAGAAAATTTGTGGCTCTACTTTTCCAAAGCCAATTACAAAAGAAAAGCAAATACGATAGAATTAGCGTTTCAAATCTTTACTTTTTGAACATAAATCTGAATTTATTTTGGACAAACGATACAATAAATATACTAAATTTATCTAAATTAGCGGGGGAATTCAAACTTAGGTGTAGATCGTGGATGGGACCTAGATTAACAAAGTGAATTAATCAAATCAGATAAGAAAAAACCAAACGAACCGCAATATTCAGATTCATCAAAAACAAAAACCCAAATCACAAAAAATAAAAACCAGCAAACCAAATCGAAATTTAAAAAAATAAAAAACAAAATTTACAAAAAAAAAAAACAGAAGAAATTTTAAAAGATCACATATACCAGCTTCTTGGAGTCGTTGGCCTTCTGGAGCTGCTGCTCCCATGCCTCCACAGTGTGGCAGCTGAAAACTTGTCCCTCCTCTGTCGCCATTTCTCGCTCTGTAAAATTTTCTCAAGAAACAAACAGAAAAATACACCTCAAAAATTATAAGTGTGCTTCCGATTTTTTTTCTGTGGGTTGCCTTAAATAAGCAAAGCTGTGGTTGTTTGTCACTTTATATTCGACCTTCATGTTCTTTATATTCACGATTTTGCCATGGGAGGTAAGAACCGTCTGGAAAAGAAGAGTTTCCCATGCACGGAACGTAGCGAATGCGTAACGCGTGCAGCGTTTGGTGGGGCTGTTATTGTGAACGTATTGCGACAAGCCCACTGTATGATCTGTGGGTCTTTATTCCCAACCGTTGGATCAGAAGAACTTGACCTTAATTTTCATTTTTTTTAATAATAAAGAGCATCATATCCATTGGTTCATACTTTTTTGGGCCTATCAATGGGAGCAAATGTATTCGGCCTTAGGGTCACTACATCAATAACTAGTTGATATCATAACAAAAAAATCAAGAAACGATTTTGGCATTTGTCAATGCGGTAAGTAACTGATTGGTTGAGTACTCTTAGGGTTAGCTCAAGTAGATGCTGAGATTAAAATTGAATCTCTTAAATATTGTAAAGTAATTTAATCGGAATTTGTCGCATCATCAGATTACGTTGTAATATGTTTTATATTTATTAGTATTAATCCATATTATTTATGGGCCATAAATTTAAATTCTACATCTTACCAAACATGATCACGTATAAAATATTATCACATAACTATAATGGAATTTACATCTTGTTTGGTAATTATAAAATAATAATTCCGTTACAGCCTTATTTCTAACAACCTTTTTTGACACGCCCCGACCCCGATATTCCCCGAATACCAGGATAGGCACGTGCTGGCCGACACCCGAGGGTGACGAAAGCCATTTATTGAGTGCAAATGCTGAAAACAAAGGATAAATAAGGCTTATAAATATAAAAGAATAATGAATATGCAAATAAGGACCGTGTTCAGAGCACACCACTAATCTAGAATACTAAAAGAAAATAATATAAAATTGAATGAAACAAAGGAGTGGGTCCTACACCGAGAGGACTCGAAGATGCCGATGCGGAAGTGCCTGGACGTCGGGATTGTATGCCTCGATTCTAAGTCCTGAAGGGGGCGCAAAACAAACATGAGTGGACCAAGTTGATATATATATATAATAAAACAGTTATCAACATACTAACCCCCAGGTTTTATGAAAACACATATATATAATGATAAACATAGGTTTTCCGAAACCTAGCATGTCGTGCAATGTCTCAAATCATAATTCGCATAAATAATAAACACTAGTGAATGTCCGATATAACACTTCAGGCCCCATGCCGGCTCCCCGTCTCTGAGCACACAGTCAGAGGAAAATACACTTCAGGCCCCGTGCCGGCTCCCCGTCTCTGAGCAGACAGTCAGAGGAAAACACACTCCAGGCCCTATGCCAACACCAAACCGTCGCCCGGGACGGACCGGATCTATCCCTACGTCCCGTAGCGGAAAGGACCACTAGGTAAGTACAAAACCAGTGAACATACATATATTGAAAATCAACTTCATAGTATAAAGTCATCCATCATCTATACTATAAAGAAGTGTTCTAAACATGTTCTAAATATCATATCGTCATCCATCAGATATTCTATAAGAACATGGGTTATAGGAAAAATAGTAATAATTCAAACTAGCCTCAGTAAGCATATTATCTCGTAAACCGTTCATAAAACATAATCATAAAGTCATGCTTTTCTGTGTATGCAATTCTACCATTAAAACATGCATTTTTAGAAGGGGTCCACTCACAGTACTTCGCCGTCGAAAAGCCACGCCATCTAGCGAAGAAGGAAACGCCACAGCTAAACACCCCTAAGCACAAATGGTACATTTAGTCAAACTCTACTCAAACGATTGAATTTGGGAAAACGGACATCGGAAACGGGTTCAGGACGTCGAAATTAGCCTAGGAGGGGTCCCGCACGAAAACCGAAAAAGTCAACCCCGAGGTCAAAGTCAACGCTGACCGTTGACTGGGTCAACGGGTCAAGGTCAACGGGTCGTGGGTCAACCCGTCAGAGTCAACCGAGTCAACCCGGTTTAGGGTTTGGGTATTGGATCCGGGTTTGGGCCCTAGGGTTTTGGGTTTAGGTAGTTGGGTTTAGGTTTTTAGGTGAGTTGGGTTGGGCTTGAACCCATACGGCCCAAAGGCCCACAACAGAAAGGGTGATGGGTTTTGGGCTAACAGGCCCTAAGGCCTAAATAAAAAGGGGAAATGGGTTTGGGCTGCAACCAAAGCCCTAAGGCCTTTGGGTTTAAAATGAAACAAAATTAAATTAAAAAGGAAAAGGTTTAGAGTTTTGGGCCAGAGACCAAACGGGCCTAAGGCCCGTGGGGGAAGGAAACGGCCTGATGGCCTGGTTGTTTTCTTGGGCTGGGTTTCACGCCGGAGAAGAAGGCCGGAATTCGGCCGGAATTTAGACAAACTTTGAACGTCCATAACTTTGTTAATACTCGACGAAATCAAGTGATTCAAAAATGAAAATCGTAGCTCTCGAAGAGACGAAGAGAATGGTACCTCACACGACGTCTAACTCGCCGTGGTTTGGCTGAAAAACACCTCGAAAGTCACTGAGGTCGCCGGAAACTGGGTAAAATTCAAATGAGTATAACTTCTTCAATACTCAATGAAATTAGGTGAAACAAAAAGAAAAGTTGTAGTACTCAGCGAGACGAAGAGATTGATACCTCGCACGCCGGCCAACTCGCCGTGGTTTGGCCGGAAATCGCCTCGAAAGGGACGGTGCTCGCCGGAAATTTGGGTGTGCACTCACCCGTGCCAAAAACACTCCAAAACCTTGGAAATCAAGAACCCAACTCAAAAACCACATCTAGGCAAAGTCTAACATAAGAAAAGAAGAAGAAAAAGGGCTTACCCAACCGGAAAAATCACAAAACTCGCCGGAGGTGTTCGTATCCTCCCGGCGCCGTGAGCAAGGGAGAGAGAGAGATATGCAGTTGAATGGCGACGATGGTGATGATTTCCTCGAGTAGGTGTAGCTGTGGGTGTGTGTGTGTGTCTGTGTGTCTTTCACGGGGAAGAAGAAGAGAGAAATGGGGGAGTTCGAAAGAAAGGAAAAAGGTGCAGACAAACAAAACAAAAGAAGGAAAAGAAGAAAACAGAAAAAAAAGAAAGGGAAAGGGAAGAACCGGGGAACAAAAACAGGGGGTGGGCCCCTTGGGCTCACCAATTAAGGCTCAAAAACAATTTTTAAAAGAAAGGTATCCCTCAAACTTAGTGAAAATACAAAAATACCCATTTTCTTACGTAAATCCCGGGACGGGTTGTTACATTTTTAGCGCATGCAAATGTTAATTATGTCAGTTAGTTGGTGCAGTATGTCCGCTTTTTGCACCCAAATTTAAATCTCATTCTCCGTAAGCTAGAGTTACACGACTAGGAAAAAAAAAAAAAAACACAACAAAATTAGTACATTCGATTCTTGGAACGCATGCCTTCTTAAGAGGAAACACAACAAAATTAGTACATTCGATTCTTGGAACGCAAGCCTTCTTAAGAGGAAAGAGACACTCAAGAAATCAACGGGGAAAACATGCTTTGAAAGTGTCGAAAGTAGCTGGCAATTGCCTCTGTTCTATACATTTGAATTACAAGTCTCTGAAACCAAAGTTTTCGTACGAAGACTCCAAATAACAGAATCTACAATCGGATCAAACTCTTGAAACAGTACGTACCAAGAAGAAACCAACCGACAAGAAAGGCGGTGAAGAAACCTACGTACGTTAGGAAGGTTGAACCTGCTAATGCAACTCCGAGACAGAATATTATTAAAAACGGTAGTAAGGACTGCACCATGGCTGCTGTGCTCACCCACTGACCCTTGAGGAAGATCAGAGCTGCAAGGTTCACCACATTCCACCCACCAGACCGAAACCCTAACCTGTTTAGGTTGTTGGCTACAAAGGAGTGGCAATTGCAGGTAAAAAGGTTGTAAGCTCGGTGTTGGAATTCCCGAGTGCCCTTCCGGAGTGCATCATCCCATGTCTTTATGTCTCTACCGGGTTCATTCTCCCCATATTGATCCTCACTTTGGTACTCAGACAGATTGGGAATAGCGCAACACTGCTTGTCAAAATTTTAACGAGCATAAATGAAACAGGAACGAGAAGGTGATACAAATTCAGATATGAAGAGATCATATACCTTTTCTTTGTTTATTTGGATGTAGCGAGTTGCTGCTCCAAAAGAAAAGTTATCCGCGCGCACGAAATTGGGCCCCGCAAAGTCCAATATGACGCCATCTTCTCTGCATATGCCCATGTGGCCAACGAAAGGAACCAACCATGAAATAACAGGAAGGGGTGTCCACACAATGCAGCATGGGAACCGGGATCTTTTGGGATCAATTTGCAAAGTCGGTGAATCACTTCCACCAATCATCAAGTTGCGCTCGGGGCCTGCACTTGTTTCCATTGCCAAAATTGGAAGCTGCTCAATTGCCTCAAAAACATTAGACACTTCACACTTGTCAAATAAGAAGCTAGTTTATCTTAAATCTCACATCCGAACTGGAAAGGCACCGCCAAAATTAATGGCATCAACTATTAGACAGAGAATTATCAAATCATGTTGTATACAAGATTAAACCGAATGCTTTCTGAACATCTTATGACCAAACATTCTTCAAGTCATACACCATTGCAAGGAATCCCATAAATCTCTCAACCAGATAAAGTCTAAGGCATCTGATGGAAAACATTTTGGCACGAAAACAAACTGCTCCAATGCACGCTCCAATCCCTTGTAATTTATTAACCTTTAGATTTTGTAAAGTTTGAGTAAGTTTATATTTACCACCCAAATTGCCGTTCTTTCTTATTTTTACAAATCCTGAAGCTTCTTTTACTGCAGAGAGGCTCCAACCACACCATCCTCAATCTATAAGTCAGTTTTCACAACCCAATATTTCGTTTTTTAGTATTTGAATGGAATCGAAGCATGGATCAACGAATTCATAGTCTTGGATGAATGAGTTTTTTTTCTCTTTTGGTTATGAAGGTTGAATGGTTTAACAGACAAATGAGGAATATATTAATTTTGGGCTTAAATCCTAACGGAGTTCGTCACGAGGGTTTAAATCCGATTTTTTTCACCACAGGAGCTATCTTCCGATTACCCTCTCACCATGAGGATCATTAATCCAATTTAGCCTTGTATTATTTATGTGGAATGTTATTTTAACATGCAAGAATGAACATATTATGCCCCAACATGATAAAAAGCAAACAGAAAATTTGTGGCTCTACTTTTCCAAAACCAATTACAAAAGAAAAGCAAATACGATAGAATTAGAGTTTCAAATCTTTACTTTTTGAACATGAATCTGAATTTATTTTGGACAAACGATGCAATAAATATACTAAATTTATCTAAATTAGCGGGGGAATTCAAACTTAGGGGTAGATCGTGGATGGGATCTAGATTAACAAAGTGAATTAATCAAATCAGATAAGAAAAAACCAAACGAACCCCAATATTCAGATTCATCAAAAACAAAAACCCAAATCACAAAAAATAAAAACCAGCAAACCAAATCGAAATTAAAAAAACATCAAACAAAATAAAAAAAAAACACAGGAGAAATTTTAAAAGATCATATATACCAGCTTCTTGGAGTCGTTGGCCTTCTGGAGCTGCTACTCCTATGCCTCCACAGTGTGGCAGCTGAAAACTTGTCCCTCCTCTGTCGCCATTTCTCGCTCTGTAAAATTTTCTCAAGAAACAAACAGAAAAATACACCTCAAAAATTTTAAGTGTGCTTCCGATTTTTTTATGTTGGTCTGCCTTAAATAAGCACAGCTGTGGTTGTTTGTCACTTTAAATTCGACCTTCATGTTCTTTATATTCACGATTTTGCCATGGGAGATAAGAACCGTCTGGAAAAGAAGAGTTTCCCATGCACGGAACGTAGCGAATGCGTAACGCGTGCAGCTGTTTGGTGGGGCTTTGACTGTGAACGTATTGCGACAAGCCCACGGTATGATCTGTGGGTCTTTATTCCCAACCGTTGGATCAGAAGAACTTGACCTCAATTTTCATTTTTTTTAATAATAAAGAGCATCATATCCATTGGTTCATACTTTTGTGGGCATATCAATGGGAGCAAATGTATTCGGACTTAGTGTCACTGACTCACTACATCAATAACTAGTTGATATCATAACAAAAAAAACCAAAAAACGATTTTGGCATTTGTCAATGCGGTAAGTAACTGATTGGTTGAGTACTCTTAGGGTTAGCTCAAGTAGATGCTGAGATTAAAATTGAATCTCTTAAATATTGTAAAGTAATTTAATCGGATTTTGTCGCATCATCAGATTACGTTGTAATATGTTTTATATTTATTAGTATTAATCCATATTATTTATGGGCCATAAATTTAAATTCTACGTCTTACCAAACATGATCACGTATAAAATATTATCACATAACTGTAATGGAATTTACATCTTGTTTGGTAATTATAAAATAATAATTCCGTTATAGCCTTATTTCTAACAACCTTTTTAGCGCATGCAAATGCTAATTATGCCAGTTAGTTGGTGTAGTATGTCCGCTTTTTGCACCCAAGTTTAAATCTCGTTCTCCGTAAGCTAGAGTTACACGACTAGGAAAAAAAAAAAACACAACAAAATTAGTACATTCGATTCTTGGAACGCATGCCTTCTTAAGAGGAAACACAACAAAATTAGTACATTCGATTCTTGGAACGCATGACAAAATTAGTACATTCGATTCTTGGAACGCATGCTTTCTTAAGAGGAAAGAGACACTCAAGAAATCAACGGGGAAAAATGCTTTTAAAGTGTCGAAAGTAGCTGGCAATTGCCTCTGTTCTATACATTTGAATCACAAGTCTCTGAAACCAAAGTTTTCGTACGAAGACTCCAAATGACAGAATCTACAATTGGATCAAACTCTTGAAACAGTACGTACCAAGAAGAAACCAACCGACAAGAAAGGCGGTGAAGAAACCTAAGTACGTTAGGAAGGTTGAACCTGCTAATGCAACTCCGAGACAGAATATTATTAAAAACGGTAGTAAGGACTGCACCACGGCTGCTGTGCTCACCCACTGACCCTTGAGGAAGATCAGAGCTGCAAGGTTCACCACATTCCACCCACCAGACCGAAACCCTAACCTGTTTAGGTTGTTGGCTACGAAGGAGTGGCAATTGCAGGTAAAAAGGTTGTATGCTCGGTGTTGGAATTCCTGAGTGCCCTTCCGGAGTGCATCATCCCATGTCTTTATGTCTCTACCAGGTTCATTCTCCCCATACTGATCCTCAATTTGGCACTCAGACGGATCGGGAATAGTGCAACACTGCTTGTCAAAATTTTAATGAGCATAAATGAAACAGGAACGAGAAGGTGATACGAATTCAGATATGAAGAGATCATATACCTTTTCTTTGTTTATTTGGATGTAGCGAGTTGCTGCTCCAAAAGAAAAGTTATCCACGCACACGAAATTGGGCCCTGCAAAGTCCAATATGACGCCATCTTCTCTGCATATGCCAATGTGGCCAACGAAAGGAACCAACCATGAAATAACAGGAAGGGGTGTCCACACAATGCAGCATGGAAACCGGGATCTTTTGGGGTCAATTTGCAAAGTCGGTGAATCACTTCCACCAATCATCAAGTTGTGCTCGGGGCCTGCACTTGTTTCCATTGCCAAAATTGGAAGCTGCTCAATTGCCTCAAAAACATTAGACACTTCACACTTGTCAAATAAGAAACTAGTTTATCTTAACTCTCACATCCGAACTGGAAAGGCACCGCCAAAATTAATGGCATCAACTATTAGACAGAGAATTATCAAATCATGTTGTATACAAGATTAAACGGAATGCTTTCTGAACATCTTATGACCAAACATTCTTCAAGTCATACACCATTGCAAGGAATCCCATAAATCTCTCAACCAGATAAAGTCTTAAGGCATCTGATGGAAAACATTTTGGCACGAAAACAAACTGCTCCAATGCACGCTCCATGGACTCGTGAATCACAGTGTAACAACCAGCATGGTTCAGCAGGTCATCGATCAAATTGTAACAAAAAAATTAGGTGGCACAACAAGCTCTAATTAAACTACGCAATAACATATTATCAATGAATCACAAACAAAAATGATTGTCCATTATCGAATTGTGGTTGTCTGGTATTTCTCCCATCTAAAATGGCATGCAGTCGATATAGCTCCTGCATCCAACTCCTCTTCACCATAACAAACTTGTCCTGAAAAAATACGGGGACGAACAAAGTTTGGAAGCTACCCCAAATTCAAGTATGTATCACACCCTAGAAATTTCCCAGTAGAACTAAAATTCAGGATTTGGGAACCAATATACAAATTGTTCATAGCCTATTTCGAAAATACCAATGTTCAGCTTCATCTTTACCATACTAAAGAGGACCAATTCTGCGGTACTGAGCGTAACAAAGTTGGTTAGTGCAGTGTACTCCGCATTTTCAATTCAATTTCGAATCCCACAGTTTAAATTAAATTAGAATATCGCTTGAATTAAAAAAAAGTGACCAACTTCCTTATCAATTAGGAACTCTAATTAAACATGTTTAATCACCATTTCTAGCTAATTGAAACCATTTTAAAGGCTTGGAAGCATCAGAACAACTGCCTACGTGTTTTGCTTTTACCTAAATCAGATACCGAACCTAAGAGAAACCGACGGGAAATGTTAAAGCGGTTGAAGAACCATGGCTAAATGTAAGAGTAGTAACACGAACACAAACCGTGGAGACAGAGGAAGAGGAGCGGAGGGAATACCTTTGGATGGGCAGCAACGGAGAAAATGAGCGCAGCACCGCCGGCGATTGCTGAGGGAGAGATCAAAGCAGACCCGAGGCGTATAACTTGGGTCAAAGGAGGGTTGGGATCTGAGACTTTTCTTTTTAGGATTATTTTTTAATTTATGAATTTTGATAATTATTTGGTTTTTAATTTTTTTTTATATAAATTATTAAGAATTTGTTTGATAACCATTTTTATTGTTGTAAATATGGATGACATTATTTGGTTTGAACGAACCTTCACGCGTAGGACAAAGTCAAAGAAAGTGGCTCGGTGGAGAGACACACAATTCAAGAATTTCTATCAAATCCTTCTAATTAGCGTATCTCAGAATTCTTATATAATGGTCAATGATAGCTCAAAAATGTTACACAAGTAGAAGAAAGAAGACGGCACACTATAAAGAACCATAACTGCTCTCAATCTTTTGAATTCTTCTATTGTTTCCATTGCTTTTGTAATTCAATTTGATAATGGGAGAGAATAGTGCTACTATCATGAGGATGTAGGTATATTTGTCGAACCTCATAAATATTGAGTCTTATTTACTTTATCTCCATTGCACACATATCGTCGATTTCACAACAGTTTTAATCTTCTAACTAAACTGAAAAGCTAGACTTTATTTTTATAATTTTTCAAAGTTTGGTTTTCCATTTTTCAGTTCTTAGTTGAAACAAAATAGTTATCAAACGATCATTTAATAATAAAAAATACACAAATATTTGAATTAGGGTAATAAGTGTGGGCATAATCACTTCTCCAATTGTACGACGTGCCAATAGTTTTATTAAAATTATTAGGAGTTCTCTCTATTTGTACGAGAAAGTCTTAAACATTATTAATTTGTAAGTATTACTTTTTAAACTCGTCACAATGTAAGTAAAAAGTTTTTTAATAACAAAATCAGAATCAATGCTCACAAAAATTTAATTTTAAGAACCAAAGTTCGAATTAAACCGAAATACAAGAACCTAGACTCTTCTCTTCTTCTTTTTTTTTTTTCTGTTTTATTTTATTTATTTATTTTTTTTGAAAGAATGGAAAAGAAATCAGGAATTACAGGTGGGCCTCGTGAAGACTTGAAATGACCGGCCCAAGCCTAGCTACAGAATTTTGTCTCGAAACGGTGCGTTTTGTCCCTTTCAACGGCAGACAAAAATTTGCAGGCCGAAGCAACGGGAGCGAAACAGACTGGGAGCGAGTATTAGGAATGGCGCCTAAAAGGGAGAAGGACGCCACTACCGTGGTGGAGCTCGACAGCGACGACGAGAACGGCGCCGGACCACAAAATCAGACAAACAAACCACCGCCGCAGACGACATCCCAACCTCTGCAACAGCCTGTGATCCCCAACTATCAAACCCTAGAATCTCGTAGTTTCTGGCGAGCCGGCGATTATGCAGTGGGTCCCACCAGCAGGGCCTCCATTGCACAGGGGCAGCTTGAGCACGCCCGAGTCCATCCCAAGTTTCTTCACTCCAATGCCACTTCGCACAAATGGGCTTTTGGCGGTAAAGCTCTTTGCATCTTTTGGGAGTTAGGGTTTTTTTTCTTCCTGATTTTCAAAGTTCTCTCATTTAATTTTATACGTTTTGCAGCCATTGCTGAGCTCTTGGATAATGCTGTTGATGAGGTAAATTTCAGAATATGAGTGCACCAAAAAATGAAGAAAATTACACTGAATTTATGTTTAATTTGTCTACTTTTTCTACATTAATTCAGGTGCAAAATGGTGCAACTTTCGTGAGTGTCGATAAAATCGACATTGCGAAAGATAACTCTCCAGCCTTACTTTTCCAAGGTGTGGTTTCAGTGTGTTTAGCAATCACTATTTTTTGGAATGATATGTGGTGTCATGAAAAGAAAAGAAAAGAAAAATTGGAAATGGTTGTGATGCTTTCTGTGCAGATGATGGCGGTGGAATGGATCCCGAAGGTATGCGCAAATGCATGAGCTTGGGGTATTCTACAAAGAAGGCAAACACGACTATTGGGCAATGTAATTATAACCATCTTCTTGTTTTATTTTCTGTTGGCTTAATTCGATGGTATATCATTTGCATAATTATGCGGGTCTGTATGTTTATTTTCAAACATGTCATCTTCTTGTTGAATTTTTGTTTCAACGAGTTGCTTATGGATAGTTTTTAGAATTTGTTTTTCTTCTGCTAAAGAAAAAGTTTTCATGTGTAAAACATGACTTAGCATGGCATTTTATGTCAGTTCAGGGTTATAGTTATTTCATTTGTTGTGGCTCAGTGTATATATTGAGCGGTTGAATGCTCATTGAAATTTTTTTATGTCTGCACTTGAAGCTCACTGTATGATACATGCTGAGTTTTGTAGTTTTTTGTGTCAGTGAAATCCTAGATCTTTGCATGTTTTTGTTCATCTTGACATCTGACAAGTGTGTACCTTTTCAGATGGTAATGGATTCAAGACAAGCACTATGCGGCTAGGTGCTGATGTAATTGTTTTCAGTCGTGCAATTCGTGCAGGGTATGTTTTATTTATTTTTCTTTTTAGTTTATTTTCCTCTTCAAAGTAGTTTAGTCAATCAATTCCCACCACTGTACCACCTTTCTTTTCCACTACAGCCACAAACATTCGCAACCATATTAACACATCCAGTCTACTGAAACTAAAGATTACATCTTGAAGCTATGATTTAAACTTGATTGTTGTGAATGTCTCTAGCTTGGACTTGCATGTTTTTTCCGAAAATGTTCATTGATTGGTATACGTGGCTATGTGATTTCACTTGGACTAGTATTCTTAGTTCCTCTGTTTTCCTTGAATATTTTATCCTTGACATAAATCAATTCAATGTTTTTGACTTACTCTGCCCTAATACCTGTCTTTTAGAAAAGCTACCCAGAGTGTTGGTCTTTTATCTTACACATTCCTACGGAGAACTGGGCAGGATGACGTTATTGTTCCAATGGTACTGTTTGGCCCTTTAACATTAAACTTCTCTTTTCCTCCTTGAGAGTTTGCAAGTGACTCACATTTCACACTTTGTTTTTATTTCAATTGTAGGTTGATTATGACATCTCTGGAAATTGGGTGGAACCAATAATTTATGGCTCACAGGATGACTGGACTTCTAATTTGAAAACAATCTTAGAATGGTCTCCCTTTGCATCAAAGGACGATCTCATGGGACAGGTGTTTTGGATGGTTCTTCTTACAGAAATACTATACAGTAGTTTTTTATCTTTCGAATACTTCCATAGTTGTACAGAAGTAAAATCCTGTAATCTTGTGGTATCATCACCAGCAATAAGTTCAGTAACATAAAGTTATTTCAGTTGAAACAATAGTTGTAAATTGGCGGCATCTGCTTTTAGATAGTAGTCACATAGTTGGAAGGGGTTTTGTGGATATGATTTAAATTTCATGTTAAAAAGGAAAGAAGAATCACATTCTCTACCAGTCTATACAAGTAAAGGAAAGATTGTTCAAAAAGACAACCTCTATTGTTGTTTAGATATATTTTATTATGTCTTTCATGCGTAATTGGTTCTCTCCCATAGCTTTCAGTCTTCATGTTTCCTTTAGCTATTAGAACAACAAAGATTGTATGGTGGTATGTGGATACGAGCAATCCCATTGTGGTGTATTGTGGGCAAAAATTTATGCTCACTTTTCCCTTACTTTGATGTTTGTTGAGGACTGCGTTTTAAAATCTTAAGATTAATAAGTCCACCCTATTAGTATGTGGATTAATTCTATTCAACACGCCATGATGCCTTTTGCTCTGGCATTTGTACAACCACAACCAGGCCGCCATTTTTGTACCTAATTTACAATAATACAAGACTAAGAGCCATGAAATGCCACTACTTTCTATTTTTCAGGTTGGTGTCCGCATACTTTGTTCACAGAACCGTGCGCAATGGCGTTCTAGGATTCATATAGCCGACCCCGCTTAGTGGGAAAAGGCTTTGTTGTTGTTGTTATTGTTGTTGGTGTCTGCATGCTTTGTTCCCTGACTAGCTTTTTTGAATAATTATATTTTGCAGTTTGAGGAAATCGGATTGCATGGAACAAGAATACTTATATACAATTTGTGGCTAAATGATGAAGGAATATATGAGCTGAGTTTCGATGATGATGATGAGGTATGTCAAACTTATTTGGCTGTACGTAAATTATAAAATCTCTCTTAAGTCCATGCTTTAGGCACATATTTTCAGCTGTCCTCTTTTATGGGATATGCTAAATGTTTGCATCTACAAGTATGAGACACAGCCATGCTTTAGTGTCCCAAATCAGCTTCTTAAGTCAACTCAGCTGAACTCTGCCCTAATAACCACTAATTGGCTATAGTGCTCCTCTTTCATCATTTATGAAGATGAGTCTTTACTTTTTCTAAATAATGATGAACAAAAATTCTTCTCTATGATATTGTATAATAAGTAATAAGTTGTCATTAGTTTCCTGTATATTTAGTTTATTACTTGCTGTTGTGTACCATCGAACCACGTTTTTAAACAGCAGTGCACACAGGTTTTTGTCACATTAAGTCGGCAAAACTTGCCAACTGAGTTTGTTGGTATATCATATTATTTTGATTTAAAAAAGTGATATGTTGGTTTGTATTTTACACTTTTAGTATATTAATGTTAACATTGTATTCCATGCGCCTTTAGTTTTAACTTTTAAAGGTTGGTGGGAGTAAGCATATCCATTGATATAAAATCCCTGACATGGATTTGAAGGATTTATCGTTCATCATTTTACTCAATGTTGTTGCATGTGCACCAATAAATACATTAGAGAGGATCCTGATTTTGTTAGTATTTGTGGTTCTTCTTTATGTTTGATGCAGGATATACGGTTGAGAGAAGAAGCTACCCGTGTAACTTCGGTTGTAGCACAAAGGAAAATCAACGATATACAATCACATATATCTTACCGTATCCGCTTTTCATTGAGGGTAACTTATCTAAATTTTACGTATGTTTTTTATTTTTTTTCAGCAACATTTGTTTTACTATGACGATTCTATTTTTCAGCAACAGTTGTTTTACTATGACGATTCTTATTCAGTCATTTTCTTATGATCAGGCTTATGCTTCCATTCTGTACCTCAGAAGATTTACAGACTTCAAGATTATACTAAGGGGAAAACCTGTACAGCAATATGATATTAAAGATGACTTGAAATATGTAGACATTGTACCGTACAAGCCTCAGCTGGCTATATTGAAAGAGGTAAGTTATCTTTCCTTTTTCCCTGCAACATTCTTGAGCTATGGAAGTTTTGTAGTTCTGAAATGAAAAATAATTCAAATACCTGGTTTCCTGCTTAAGGTTACAGTGGAAACAACCATTGGATTCATTAAAGAGGCACCTGCACTTGCAGTTAGTGGCTTCAATTTGTACCACAAGAATCGCCTCATCAGGGTATGTTTTGAGTATGCTGAAGTGCAATTTCTATCTTTTTGAAACTTATGTTGCTAACTGCAAATTAGTATATCGTGAATCATATAGTATACTACGGTTTGAAGTTGTAAGTTGGGTTAGATGATCAATAAAATGGATGTAATTCATGGAAGTACAATATGCCGAATTGACTTTCAGTCACACAGCGCTGTGAAATTTGGCTATTTGTTGCTTTTCGTACTCTTTAGCTGAATCTATAATGAAAATTAATGCAATATCAAGTGAGCTACATGATAAGGATGGCCATTGTGTAATTGTGACCAGTGACATTCCAGTTAACTGATGCAGTGACTTTTTTTTTCACGTTGTTGCAGCCCTTCTGGAAAGTCACAGCTGATGGTTCTTCAAAGGGGAATGGTGTTGTTGGTATGATTCCTTAACTCCGTATTTCTCATTGTAGATATGTTCTGGACGTATTCGTTTATTTAATATGCTTTAATGTACATATCACCAGGAATTCTTGAAGCAAATTTTATAGAGCCCGCACATGATAAGCAGGATTTTGAGAGATCTTCATTGTTTACCCGGCTTGAAAATAGGCTGAAACAAATGGTAAATGATTTCTGGTGAGTTATTGCAACTTTCAAATTACAGACAACCTTTTTCTTTACAGGGGTTGGGATGTCATTGTTATTGTTGAGGGGTGTCTGGTCCTTATGAAAGAAAAGAAAGAAAACTAATGGTTAAATTATATTCTTTTTAAATGAGGAAAAGGTTTAATAATACCCTGGGCACACTGGGGGTGTACAAAAGAAAGACCAGGCATAGAAGAGAAGTCAACAGCACTAAATTCTATACACACACACATAGAATATATTTTGCAGATGTCTATCCATTATAAAGTGGTCTCAGGAAAGAAGCTTCCACTCCATGAGTTGGAACTTGATGCCATGGAAGGTCCATATCTGTTCATAAAATGGGGGCAGCATAGAAGAAAAATTTTGATCTCTCTTTTGGATTCTGGTCATTTTCCCCTTAGCATTTATAGAATGAGTTGAACATTAGGTATGGTATCTAGTAGTACTTCATTTTCCATGTTAAACCTTTGTAAAGTGTTTTTCTCATGAAAGATGTTAATATACAATTGATCACTTTAAATTTTGACTGTATGTGTATGCCATACATCCTTTGATCTCTCTCTCTCTCTCTCGCACACACAAGTATTGGCTTTCTTTACATTGATGTGCTTTCCTGACACAGAATCATGTATTTTCACCGTTCTGAGTTGTTGAATTGTTCTGGACAAGACAGGAAAAGCAAATGTCACTTTGTGGGATATCAGCCTATTGGTTTTACTCGCAACCTGCCAAAGGACCCGACGTATAAATCTTCTGCTAGAGATGGACCAAATTCGATGAATCTTGACCAAACTATGGATGACCTTCCTGCTAATATTGTACAAGATACGAGCAATGGGCAGCATGGAAGTGGCCACCAAACTGGTTTTGAAAACGATTCGCCAACTGTAAGTGAGACAGAGTATTAATTTCTTGTTTGCTTCTTACCATTCGTTGTTTCAATCTATTTAGTACAGTTGACAGCTAGCACGCAATGGTTAAGAACATTCTTGGTTAAACATCGTACCAAGGATATTCAAGAGTTTTCTGGTAGCACAGTCTCTAGCTTTGGGTCTCAAATGTTTGCAGTGTTCATATTGTCTATGACTTTCAAACATTGTTATGTATTACATTGCAGAGGAGCTGGTTTCACTCTTAGAAAACTTACTTGCCAGTAGTTAAACAAGAACAAACACTGTTGATGTTCAACCAAATAATCAGTTGAAAGTTGAAATGCTTAAAAAGTAAATATAAGGCCATGGCCAGTTGGAGGTTTAGGACATATCATGTGCTCAGCAGGTTCATCACACTCATGTTCATAAACCTTATAAAAGAACGATGATGCGTACTACGATTTCTAGGGCAGTGGACCACAACAGACCCTGATAAACTCCTCTGGGTTCTCTATATTTCAGTGTCATTGTCTTGTTTCTAATTTTGCTTTGCTCTGAGTACAGAATAAACAATTCTTACATTGTTGAATGCCAATGCAGATGTCAAATGAGGTAGTGGGGTCTGCGGACGATATAGAGCCCATGACAGTTGATCAGATATGCGAAGAGAATATACAACTTTTCATGAGGTATCGTTTTAAATCTGCATTCAAGTACCAGGCATAATTAGTTGGGAATGTGGCACCGAGATATTTACATGCTATATAATTGAGTCTCTCTATTTGTTTCTTCTCTTGAACCCAACAAAACCCTTTTGCTACAGGTGTGATGCACAGATGCAGAAGGAGTCTGAGTTGAGGAAGACGGTATGTATGAAGTTCCGCATCACATCGTTGATTCATTACGTCATTAATTCAAGTTGGCAGGCTGAATGACTTAGTGCTCAAGTTTGTTAAATAACGTGATACCGAGCTTTGCTTTTTGTTTGTGGAACGAAATAGGTTGAAAACCTAGAGAAGGAGTTGGAGCTGGCCAAAAGGAAGAACGCACAACTTGCTTCATATCTAGAGACGAAGAGGAAGCACAAGATGTTGAAACAACCTACTGAAAATGATTTGATAAAATCATAGAACTACATTCTGTACCGGTCACTGCAACCAGACCAATGTCTAACCAAGCTACACACCGACGCTTCTCCTTCAAAATGTGTAGAGAAAGTAGCTAGAAATCAGATGCTTCTGTACTTTCCTTTGTCCGGTGGACAGCACTTAACGGCCGGACTCCGACTTTGTTGTGGATGTCACAGTTTATGAAGAGCGCACAAGAGTTGGGAATAATGTATATGAATGTATGTAGTGAAATGTGAAAAAGAAGGGCTAATCTTTTTACTGGACAAGCTTCAAATATTTTTATTTTCTAAGTTGCCTTCCTTTGTTTGCTCTTTATTACAGTTTGTTGCCTTAGTTTTCTCCTCTCGAGATTACTAATATCAAAACCACCGACGTCCGTTAAATTCGAGTATTGGGTAGGAAATTTGAACTTTGGAATTTTGCATGACAAAGCGAAGGGAAATATCATTAGGCTAACATTTAGCTGATAAATATAACGTTTAACGGTTGAGAAGAAGAGTAATCTGAATACGCTGACTAAAGGATTGTGCTCCGTAAAAAAGGACGACGTTTACTTGCTTAATTACAATGTGCAAATATAAGTAAAAGAAATGATTAATTGCAATTTAAGATGCGAGACATGGCTAGATTGGGGTTCCAAAATTTTTTTTAAAAGTAGCTTCTTAAAAAAATTAGAGTTAAAATTGTGTTTGGTAAAAAAAAAAAAAAGTTTTTGTTTTTAATATCGTGGGTCTAAAACAGAGACAGCTCTAATCATGCTTTTCAAAAATATGGTTTTTCATAAAAGCCGGGTGAACAATAACTTTTAATAAAATTTTCATATTGACGACTACTTTGTCTGTTTTTTTTGTTAAAAACACTTTTAACATCGTAGTTTATCAAATACTTACTTACTTTTTAGCATAAATATATATTATCACGTCACAGCAAAAACAGTTTTCAAAAGAAACAACAGCAGCAATCGCAAAGTGAAAAAATGGTTTTTCACACGCTTGTATGTTGTATGTATATAAATATGTAATACAAAAATAAGGTAAAATATTCCTAACAAAAAGAAAAAACAAATGAAATAATGACGTTGCAGCACGCTATTGCATCAACTGACGTGGCAAAAGGAAGTTCCGGAAGTCACACGCCGTCTTCTGGAGCAGTGGAGGTAAAATCTTCCCGAAAGTAACGGCCACAGTCGCAGATTCTCCAAGGATCCACTCACCGCTGCAGCTCAACACTCCGTCCTCCGCGAAATTGGATTCTCGGCGGCGGAGACTTCACCATGAGGAAGCGAGATTTGGCCATTCTCATGCTCTCCGCCTTCGCCATCTTCTTCTCTCTTCAGGTCCCCTCAAAAGCCCTACAAAAACTCTTAACGACAATCGAATTTATGTATTTCTATTGAATTGAACTCGGATTGAATTGTTTCTGATTGGATTTTGATTTTGGAATTTCAGCACGAGGGTGATTTCTCCTTCAGAGAGGCGTGGATGCATCTCTCCGACGACTACCCGATCAAGTTCGAAGGCGACCGCCTTCCTCCGCCGATCGTCGCCGATCTCAACGGCGACGGCAAGAAGGAAGTCCTCGTCGCCACCCACGATGCCAAAATCCAGGTCTCTCTCTCTCTTCATTTTCATTGTTACTTACTTGTTAGGTATGCTGAGGGTTTAGTGTTATTGGTAATTTTTGTTATTGTTAGGTTTTGGAGCCTCTTAGTAGGCGTGTAGACGAAGGATTCAGCAACGCGCGCGTGCTTGCGGAGGTGAGCCTTTTGCCTGACAAAATCCGCATCTCCTCCGGCAGACAGGCTGTGGCAATGGCCACCGGGGTTATTGACAAGCTTAGGCCGGGGCAAAGACCCAGGCAAGTTTTGGTGGTTGTTACGTCGGGTTGGTTTGTTATGTGCTTTGATTCCAACCTCAAAAGGCTGTGGGAAGTCAATTTACAGGTTTGTGGAAAGTTTGGAATTTTGTTCATATCTTTATAGGGAAATGGTGACCTGATTGGTGTTATCCGAGTCCATAGTCTTATTCTAGTTGGAATTTTACAGGAGGATTTTCCACATAACGCGCACCATAGGGAGATTGCCATCTCAATAAGTAACTACACCTTGAAGCATGGGGATACAGGATTGGTGATTGTTGGTGGAAGGATGGAAATGCAGCCTCATGTATGTTTCTTGTTATATTATTCAGTTCTAATTTGTTTCCATTTATTCTGGAATCAACTTTTCATTCGAGTATCCGTTATGGAGAAAGCATGTGTGGTTACAAGTATATATCCTACTGCCAAGATTGTTTGCGAACTTTAAAGCCCACGGTTTTCGTTCATAACTTCTAAACAATTCATCTCGTGTGATGGCAGAAGCATTATCTACTAGCTTTAGCATCCTTTAATTATTTGTCTTTACAAACTTTGAGGATGTTGATAAAGAAATGCTGACCTTAATCTTCTTTGCACTTTTCCGTCAAGATGAATATCGATTATAATGGTTCAAACTGGACTTGCTTTTGTTACAGCTTTCTTTTTTCTATATTCGTTGCTTCACTGCTCCTGGTATTTCACAAGTTTCTATTTGTTGTCCTTTCTTGTCGTCGTAAATTCCTTTTTTTGGAGTACTTGATTGAAACCAGACTTCTATATTTGACTTGTTATTGCTGTTGTAATGTTTAAACTGAAGACTCGCATTTTTAATCAGTCTACAGTGGTTTTAAAAGTGATTTCTTGTCATTTTTTAGATTTTCATGGATCCTTTTGAAGAAATTGGGATGGCGGATCGAAATGCTGAGCAGCATAGAAGAAATCTAACTGAAAAGGAGGTAAAAGCATTTTTTGGTTTATGCATGTAAAACTCTTGCTTTTTTTAATTAGGGTGGATAACTTGATCTACAGATTTTTGCATTTACTGAAGCATAGTGTTTAGATGGTTTCTTCTATCTATCTTGTGCAGGCTTCTGAGAGTTCAGGAACTGTGGATTTACGCCATTTTGCATTTTATGCATTTGCTGGTAACTCTGGAACTATTAGATGGACTAGAAAGAATGAGGTGATCTTCGTATTTTTTGTACATATGCTTTTTACTTTAGCACTTCTATGCTTTATAGTTCATACTATACTTAGAAACTAGGAAGACATTAATTTTCTGGTGTAATATATCCAAAAAAATTATAGCAGATGTACAAGCTAGAATTTTTCTCTTTTAGCATCTTATTGATGCATGTTACTATTACACTACTACCTGGTGTTTAACTCTTATCTGATTGATGATTCCAACTTTTGATTAAGAATATTGAAGTATTTGTTTCTCGAATAGCTGATTCAGTCATTTGGTTGTTTAGAATATTGAAGAGAATTCTTCAGATGCTTCACGGTTAATTCCACAGCATAACTACAAGCTTGATGTTCAGGCTATGAACAGTCGTCGTCCAGGAGAGGTATGTTATTCTACCATTTACAAAACTGCATGGTTACTTGTTACAGTTACCCAGTGTATATGTTAATCAATTTTTCGTTGTACTTTGTATAATGTTGTGAAACTCTTATTCTTTGGAGTTTTGTTTTGGTCAAACATATGAAATATTTGAGTTTCAACTCGAAAAATGGTCCCCGAAGAAGCTTATGGAAATCTCTCTCTCTGTCTCTCAGTACACATTTTCTTTACCTGAAAGTAGGTTACTAGTTTTCATCTTGTTGCTCTAAATTGCTTATGATTCATGCTTGTTTGGACTTCATTTATGATAGATTCTTTTGAGATAATCCCCCTGATATATGTTACATTGTAGTATGAATGTAGGGAATTCAGAGAATCTATCCTTGGAGTTATGCCACATCATTGGGTATGTTAAGAGGACTGTCCTTGACTCCGTTAATTGCACTTCTGTTCAACTGAATGTATTATTTTGTGGTAAGTGATTTGCCAATTTGCATGCCATTACCAGGATAGAAGAGAAGATACTTTGTTGGAACTTGCACATTTCAGGCGGCACAAAAGGAAAACAGTGAAGAGAACATCCGGAAAGACTATTAACTTCCCTTTCCACAAGCCAGAAGAAAACCATCCTCCTGGAAAGGACTCAACAAAAAAAATTTCAAACTTGATTGGAAAAGCTACACAGTATGCTGGTTCAGCAAAATCTAAGAAGGTGCGACTTGTGAACCATTTAAATTTAAGATTGTTTATTGTATGTTGAAATTCATTTTTGACCTGTTTATGTTGCTGATGCAGCCATATCAATATATACCTACCATAACAAACCACACTCAACTTTGGTGGGTCCCTAATGTCGTTGTAGCTCATCAAAAAGAAGGAATAGAAGTTATTCACTTAGCAACTGGCCGCACTTTCTGTAAGGTAAACGAAAAGCCCACTCAATTTCCCTTGTAGCGTCATAACCAAAGTGAAATTACACTTGATATGATTACCATTCATGCTTTGGTTTGTGAAAGAAAGAGAGCAGCCTTTGTTCTTTATTTTTTTTTTTGTTGAGACTTGAGAGAGATCCACCCTGCTTCAGCTCAGTCCTTCATTTCTTATTTTTACTTTCTATCTGATATATGTACATACATAGAAAAACTTTGTTTCAACTGTGGAATATTTATGTTATCTCTTAACCAATGTAATGCAATATTTATCGATCTTATCAGCTTCATCTTCAAGAGGGTGGCCTTCATGCTGATATAAATGGCGATGGAGTCCTAGATCATGTCCAGGTGCACATCTCTTGACTTTCTACCTTTGGTCTGTTATCTCAGTTCTAGTTGGCTGAACAGCGTAAAAGTTTAATGCTCAGTGGATGTTGGAAGTTAATGTCTGTTGAATTATGCTCAGTGGATCTAAAGCACATTGATAAAAAATTTATGATTGGTGGACAACCACAACGAAAAAAAGGAGGAAATGCAGGGATAAATGTGGCATAATTAAATTGTGACCAGAAGTGTAGATTTTGTTTATGGCTGCATCATGGGTGATAAATGTGACAGAATCTGTGCCTTCTCTGCAGGCTGTAGGGGGAAATGGCGCTGAGCAGACTGTTGCTAGTGGATCCATGGAAGTGCTCCGTCCCTGTTGGGCTGTTGCGACCTCTGGTGTACCCGTTCGAGAACAACTATTTAATGCTTCGATATGTCATCATTCCCTTTTTAACTTATTCCAACATGGAGAATATTCTAGAGGCTTTGGTCGAACTCATGATTTAGCATCGTTGGAGGTAGCAACTCCCATTCTCATTCCGAGAAGAGATGGCCATAGGCATCGTAAGGGAAGCCATGGTGATGTTGTCTTCTTGACAAATCGTGGTGAGGTATGCATTCTAATCTTGATCGCGTCATGGATTGGGATGAGATCACTCACAAAATTCAATTATAATCTTGTAAGGTACAGGATACTGTTTACTTATGCAGAATTGGCAACTTAAGATGTGTACTTTCTTTCAGGTAACATCATACTCCCCTGGATTGCATGGCCATGATGCCGTTTGGCAGTGGCAGCTGACGACGGGTGCTATATGGTCAAATCTTCCATCTCCGTCAGGGTTGATGGAGACTGGTAACGTGGTCCCTACACTGAAGTCATTCTCGTTGCGAATTCGTGATATTCAAGAGGTGGTCCTTGCTGCCGGAGAACAAGAGGCTGTGGTGATTTCTCCTGGAGGAAGTATCGTAACATCAGTTGTCCTTCCAGCACCGCCTACACACGCCCTGATCACCGAGGACTTCTCAAACGACGGGCTCACTGATCTTATTGTTGTGACGAGTACCGGGGTGTACGGGTTTGTCCAGACAAGGCAACCAGGTGCCCTCTTCTTCAGTACCCTGGTTGGTTGCCTCATACTTGTAATGGGCATCATCTTCGTGGCCCAACACCTCAACTCCATCAAAGGCAAACCCCGCGCTCCATCTTCTCAGTGAAAGCAGCAGAGCTTTCACAACGAAAATACTAACCGAATATCGCCACAACTCGAGAGAAGCAAAGGAGTTCATCGACATCGTGTTTTGGTAGTGAAAAATCGGCATACGCTGGAGAAAGATCGACGAGCTGACAGACTTGCTTCCCTGCGTTCACTGTAATCCTTCTGTGGCGCTTCGTTTTCTCCTCCGAGTTTATTGCATGTAAAAATCTTTCTTCTGCTATGTATCATTTGCATCTAATTTTCCGTCAGTACATTATCTCTTGTTTTTTACTTCAAATTTTCTCCAGGCTCATGACTTCGAGCATCTCCAACAACACTAGGTATATTTTAATTAGTTTAGCATGAAATTCGAAGATTGTTTTGGCTTAGCCGATTTTAAAAATGTTACTCCTACAACTTTGAATATTTTTTTCATTTGATAACTTTGAATACTATTTATTAAAAGGTACTTATTATAAGACGGATTTAGTTTGATTTTACCTTATACCATCTTCACTATTACCATGCTCATCTTTATTTTATGGTAATATCAAATTAAATAGGTCTTAACAGTTGTCCATTAATAACTCAATGGGCTGCTAACACTGAATCTCGGCCGTATGGAAGGGAAAGAAATCTTGCAACCATTTACAAAGCTAGGTTAACTGGGATATAACTACGCTGTGGATCAAGCTTTGTGGTTTTGGGTTAAATTTATTGAAGTTCAAACAACATGGTTTGGTTAAGCCGTTGGAGATGTTCCTGTAGAAAAGAAGGAAATATGGAGAAAACTTGGCACAGAAATAGTCCTCTCACTAATTTTCTTTCGGCCAAGTACCACTCTCAGGATATTTCCCTTTGTTTATACAAAAAAAAAAAAGAAAAAAAAAAAATTTGCTCAAGAAGAAAAATTAATTAGATCGAGTAACTACGAATACAACCAGTACCAATACAATCAAACAGGTGGGGCACGATTTTTGCCACAAGCGGCAAACATTCTTCCCAAATATAAGAGCAAGCCTATACTATTGACATCTGAAAAAAAAAAAAATAATAATCCCCCAAGAAAAAAAAGTTTTGGCCTCTGTGTATATACGAGTGATTGACTGCATTAAAGTATTATGTATAAGTATTTATATATGTCATTAATTGTACTGAATTTTAGACCTCACGAGTCACGACGTTCCGATTCTCTTTGAAACGGAAATATTGGGTTTCACTTTGATGCATGTCAATTCAGAAACGTCGTCCATATATATGAATGTATCAATCCGTTTCAGAGAGATTTGTTGGGGAAAAGTAAGATTGCCACATGAAAATTCCGTGGGGCTGTCAAAGCAAGTGGGAGGTCGAGTCTTCGAGAGCTCTACCTAGCTCTCGCATTCAAGCACCTTATCACTAAAAGTCAATATAGAAATAAGTACACACACACATATATATATATATATATATATATATATATATATATATATTCCAAGATCATGCCTTCCACCCCTACAATCTTTATAATTTAAACGGTGTATATATGATATGCACTGGTGCACTAAACCGTTTAATTTGCATGGATTAATATTTGACATGTTTGATCTAACTGTTTAAACACCGATACATTTCATACATGTATATTGTAGATGAACCCTATTTATTATCAAAGCTTCGTGGTTTAGAATTTGGATATTATGCTAACACTAGAGTTTGAACTTTAGGAACCCTAATACGAGATGGGTCTTTAATTAATTTCTTCAGATTAACTATAGGCGTAGTTTTGCAGCAGGGTTTATGTTAACCTAATTCCAAAGACGACGTCCGTGAGATAAGCAACTAGCTAGCAACCGAAAGAATATTTACTGGTCCTCGAAGAGACAATTCACTACATGTAAGAGCTTGGTTTTTTCCAAAATATGCCTCAATTACGCCTTCAAACTTGCAGCCTTGTTTTCTGCTGACAGCAGACACAGCCTTTACAAGTTATGGAATATGGAAAAAAAACTTCAACTCCCACCAATTTGGCATTCGGTTTGATCAGCACATTCAGCTATATTGGTGCTCTCTCTCTCTTTCTCAGATTGCAAATAGGGTTTGGGACGAAACAGCTAATTGATCGAGGGCAAAGCAAAGCAAAAAAAATGAAAGGAAAAAATAAAAACTTTTTGCAGCAAATTGCCTACTTGTGGGGACCACAGCAACTCAATTATATTGCCCCCCAGGCCAACACACAGAAGATCACATTATGCATTGGGCTCAGCCTACCAAGTACCAACCCTAGAGCTGATCAAATTGCATGCCAACCCCGCCTGCCTATAATTGCCCTAATACACCATGACAAACCCTAGTGCCCCCTTTTGAATTATGACTTTTTTGTGCTTACTAGGGGAATTAACCTAGCTAATATGTTGTTTAGCTATTGCTCTTGGATCTCTCTAAAATAATGCAGACACTGCAGCGATGTCTATACATGATTATATAATTATATTATATATATATATATAGATATATATATTTACAAGCAAAAGTTAGAAAAGAAGAGTATAAATTAGCAGACACTGCACTGATGTCCATATATGTATATATAATTATATAAATGTACAAGCAAAAGTTATAAAGGAAGAGAATATATATTAGCCCAGTGCCAAACATCTGGGTTTATACTTTCTCAAAACTTTAGAAATATGTGGCTGTTAGCTAGCTGAGGTCTCTGTTGGCAATGTTGTGAGAGTGATGGAGTATACGAGAGAGCAATGTTGTGGGGTTGTATGGCTATCATGCATCCACCCTTTGGTTGATTGGATGCCATATACAGGAGAGAGTAGTGTTTGATGTTGTACGTCTCTGAGAAGTCTACAGAACATGTGCTTTTTACGAATTTTCTTTAGTATATGTTAACCTAGCTAGCAAGCTACACACCACAAATACGTTTCCTTGTTACGTTAATCTACTCGCTACAAACATGATCTGCCCTTGGATAATATGTCGTACATATATAAGGTTGATAAGATGCATTTGTCAAGGAAAACCTTAGGCTTTAAGAAAGAAGTTGAGTTGAGATTTGAGATTTTCAATGTAGGTCGTGGATAGGATTATATCTTAAAGTCACCCTAACTAATTTCTATAGGCACGAATATGCTTCCCCAATACAAGACAATTTTTGCCATTTTATTTGGAAGATAGTAAAATAAAGTCACTTGACAACCCCTTACAGAAAAACTATGCTCTAAGAGCAACTCCAGCGTGGGCTAGTGCTCAGGGGACAGGGGACGAAATAGGGCCACATAGCCCGGTCTTGAAGCTCCAGTGTGGGCCGTCTGAGGGAGAGTGGAGGCCAGAGCTCCGGGCCTGTGAGGAATTGCCAGCCTGAGTGGATGTGACACCAGGGCTAACGTCAGCCCAATTTTATATTTTTTTTTCTGTCAGGCACGTGCGACTCACTCGCTCATGGGGGCGCGTCAACCGACAACTTTTCAGAGTATAGGGCTCGCATCGCAGTCTGCCGAGATTACCGTTGGGAAGCCACGTGGCTTCCCACGGTCCGTTCGGTTTCAACGGCTCTTTAAATTGGACCGTCCGATTTGCAACGGTAATAAAAATAAAAAAAATCTTATTTAATATCAACCGTTGGATCTGAGATCAACGGTTGATATTATTCTGCTTTATAAATAAATAATAGTTTTAAAATTAAGGAAAGTTACTGTTGTGACATGTGGCACAATCTGGAGTGTTGGAATTCAATTTTTTTTTAAACCCAACGACAGACATTTATTAGTTCAATAAAAATTTAAAAAAAAATTGTAAAAAATCCGAAAAAAAATATGAATTTTTTTTTTTAAAAAATTGTTTTTACTTTTCTATAAATACCTTCTCATTATCATTTACCTTACACCACAATTTCATATTTTCTCAACTACTTTCAATCAAATTCCTATCTTTCTCTCAAAATTTCAATCCAATTTTTTTTCAACAAAATGACTACTGATGCAAGTACGAATTGGACGCTTCTTGAAGATATTGCGTTGTGTACTAGCTGAGTTAAAGTTACTCATAGTTCGCTTACAGGTAATGAGATGCAGTTGCGAGAAATGTGGAGTCTTATTCATACCAATTATCTTGAGAAAATGGGTGAGAAAAGAACCAAAGAATCGATGTCCAGTCGTTGGAAATTACTTAGCCAATCGTTTAGTACGTAGAGAGACGCCTTGGCGCAATGAAAACAATTAAAAATCTTATCCGAAATTAGAAATAAAATTATTTTGTACTATTTTATAAATTAAAAAAATACTAATATTTTATTGCCTATTGCCAGGGCTATTGAAGTGCAATGGTGGAGATGCAAAAGGCAATTACTGTTCATTAAGGGCAGTTACTGTTCACTGGGTGGATAGCATAGTGTATTTCCTAGAGGGAGGATTCCTACGCTAGAACTACTCTAAAGCGTGTACATACACAGCTAGATCCGCAGTCTGCCACTGTCAACAATTTCCATGCTTAGATATATATATATATATATATATATATATATTTGTATGTATGTATGTATGTAGTTCCTTATATTGAACTTCAGATCTCGAAACTTCAAAAGCAATTAGTTGGTTTGAAGAATCACTGGATATAATCTTAAGACTTACTTATTGAGGATAGTTCTATTTGATTTGTTTGGTGCAACCACTCTTCTTCTCTTAGACTGAATATCGAAAGCTCCGGCAAAGCTATAACAAAGTCATTTTTCATTGCACCCTATCTACCATTGTATATATTATTCCGACGTTTCAATGAATACCGTACTTTCATAACACAAAATCTATGTATCTATATGAAAGTTACTTTGTATAGAGATATGTTGGAGAAGAATTCACAATTCCATAACAGTTTCATGCATCAACTCTTTAATCATGGTGTAGCATTATCTTTCTTCTCAGTATATGCATTGCAGTAATGTATAGCCACTAATGTTAATCCGAATAATTAGAATGTATATTGTATTTCCATCACAATTAGAGATTAATGAGCAAAATTGTTCTCATATCTTTACTCGTTCAGCACTCCTCCCTCGTTATCTAAACATACGACAACAAAGAAAGAAATGCACAAGGAAAAAAATATGAGTTTGAAAATTACTACTCGTAACAAAAAACTACAGACTCACAAAACTAATTTTGAAAGAATAATACTCCGGTGCATTGGGGATGGAGGCCTTTGATGATTTCCCAAAATTCAAAGAAAACTGAATGCATGGATACAAAATTGAAAAATTGAAAAATTGAATTCCCCCAGGTACTTACTCAGTTGTCCAGGGGACCGAATATTACTGAGGAGATTTTTTGTTGTGGACGGAAATACGGTCCGAAACACAAAGTGTAATTTTACAATTAATATAATATAACAATTGGTGTAATATTCCAATGCATTGGAGATGGAGGCCTTTGATGATTTTTAAAGTTTAAAAAAAATTGATGTATTGAACCGTGTTTCCAAAATTTTCTGCTGCTT